CATTTCTTTTCGTATAACATTGCTGGAGTAGTTGGTATCGACAGTCGACAAAGTGTAGTTGAAACATCGCTAGTAAATTCCATTTCTTTTCGTATAACATTGCTGGAGTAGTTGGTATCCACAGTGGACAAAGTGTAGTTGAAACATCGCTAGTAAATTCCATTTCTTTTCGTATAACATTGCTGGAGTAGTTGGTATCGACAGTCGACAAAGTGTAGTTGAAACATCGCTTTTATACGAAAAGAATGGAATTTACTATACCAACTACTCCAGCAATGTTTCAACTACACTTTGTCCACTGTAGCATCGCTAGTAAATTCCATTTCTTTTCGTATAACATTGCTGGAGTAGTTGGTATTGCAATATATAAAAAAAAAAAAATTCCGCCTCTTTTATTATATTGTATAACACTTACGAACGTAATAAGATATATTAATATGTTAGGCCTGGCATGGCCAGGTGGTTAGGGCGCTCGACTCGCAATCTGAGGGTCGCGAGTTCGAATCCCCGTCCCACCAAACATGCTCGCCCTTTTAGCCATGATGGCATAATGATGTTACGGACAATCCAACTATTCATTAATAAAAGAGTAGCCCAAGAGTTGGGGGTGGGTGGTGATGACTAGCTGCATTCCCTCTAGTCTTTCACTGCTAAATGAAGGACGGCTAGCGTAGATATCCCCCGTGTAGCTTTGCGCAAAATTCAAACAAACCAATACTTATAAGTAATACTTATTCAATATTTCAATACTTATAAGAACGAAGTTTAAAAGTATTGTACTGAACTTGATAAATTCTTAAGGTTTCAGACGTTTCGTAGTAGAACCAATGTCTAATGTATTGTAATTTCTCAACCAATAAATTTCATACGTTTTGTTTTAAACTTCGTTAACAATTTCTTATTTATATATTGTTATGTATTACCAACTTGTCTCGTACCGCACTTGCGTGTCTCGTGTTTATGTTCAAATTCCAACTGATTCTTCACGCTAGTAAGTTGTATTCTGTTATATGCCTAAAGTAGGCCAAAGGCGAAACGTTGCAAAATAAATCCATTTAGTAAGCCTGTAGAAAGCATTGTTATCTACTTTTTTTCTTTGTTTAAGTTTATTAACGAATTCCACTCTTAAAAGAACACTGTCTTTAATTGATGAAAACATACATAATGATTTGAGATAATGTGCTTTACTTGATAACAAATATATTACTCAAATTTAAATAATAATAATAACAGAAGATAAGTTTAACGTATAACTCTCAAACACTGTTACAAAAATTATAATATATACGTATACGTATAAGTAGGTCACTTAATACAGGTTACTTTAATTACACCATGCATAATTTGGTCAAGGTTATCTTTGTAAGCACATCCATCCAAGTGATGGCGCGTTTTAATGAGCATGGTTGTCTATTGTCTTTGTGATGTCTTAGAATTAGGAGGGGAATCATACTTTAATAGCAGCACTTTATGGCCAAGACATCATAGATTTTTCTATGTTGCCCATATAAGTAATTAACCATTAGGGGAGCATATAACACATGTAACATATTCAAACAATATAGTTGCCATTCAAATTGTTTAAAAAGTCGATTAAAAAAATTCACATGACAAAAAATTAGGATAACTGCTAGTACTCACCTTGGCTGCCTATTAGTTGTTGAACAGCTTCGTAAATATTGTCGCCATGTTGGACATCTAGTTCGCGAAATTCACATCGACTCATTCGACTTAAACTTTCTCCACAGAATTTGCTGAAAGCTGGCATATTGACATCCAGTGTGTCTATCCTGTGATGTGTTGCCCAATCGAACAACCACTCAATAACATCGGAAGGATGCCAATGCTCTATTGGTTTCAACTGCCACGTGTCACTTGCTGTACCATGAAAATAAAACAAGAATATCAGAGTTCAAATAAGTTTTAACATACAGGAAACTGTTATTTTTCCTACATGTCAATAAGTTCCCCAGTTGGGCAGCGGTAACTTTACGGACTTACAACACTAAAATTCGATTCCGCGCGGTGGACACAACAGATGACCCAATGTAGCTTTGCTCTAAAACAAACAAACAAAGAAACAAACAAAAAATACCGATAAAAGATTGTACAAGAAATCAAAGAAGGGAAATATAGTCACATAATTTTATCGTTTGTTTGTTTGTTTTTTGAATTTCGCGCAAAGTTACACGATCAATCGCTTTTCGCAATATTCGGTCATATAAGAATTGGTGGTGGATGCTGTTGACCAGTTACACTCCCTCT